AGCAGCCCCGGGGGAGCATCCCCCGAGAGAAAGCGGCTCCCCCCCGGGGGGAGCAGCACCCATGGGAGAGCAGCACCCCTGGGGGAGCAGCATCCCCCCCCGGCAGAGCATCACCCCCGCGGGATCATCATCCCTGGGGAAGCATTAACCCCCTGGGAGAGCAGCATCGCTGGGAGAGCAGCGTCCCTGGGAGGGGATCGTCCTCGGGTGGCCATCATCACCCCCAGGAGAGCACCATCCCTGGGGGGCCATCGTCCTCTGGGGAGCATCATCCCCGGGGGAGCACCCCCCCGGGAGGGGATCATCCTCGGGCGACCGTCACCCGCAGAAGAGTGTCACCCCCAGGGGATCGTCACCCCTGGGAGAGCGTCACCCCCGGGAGAGCGTCACCCCTGGGGGAGCATCGCCTCCAGGAGAGCATCCTCCAACGGAGAACATCTCCGGGGGAGCATCTCCGAGGGGTTCAGCGAGCCCCCGGTGGGTGCAGCCCGTCGTTGGGTTTCTTGACCCATCTTTGGGTGAAGAAATGGGTGATGGGAAGGGAGAACCGGCGTCCGCTGGGTTTTATTTTCCCCCAGTGTCTGCGAAGGTGGCGGCGGTCGGTGAGATTTTGGGTTTCAAAGCCGCTGCCGGGGAGGTCGGGGCTTCGCTGCCGGCTTCCCTCCGCGCAGCTGAAAGCCGAAGCCGAAGCGAAGCTCCCTTTGGCCGCGCCGCGCCTGGAGGGGACTGGGGCGCGGACCCCTTGGAGATGCCCGCGGCGCTCAGATGGCGCCAGCGGAGGGGTCAGGAGACCCAACTCCATCACCAGGCAGCGCAATCAGGACCGCGAGGGTGCTAATTAGCGTTAATGACCCTGATCAGCCCCACCTAGGAGTGGCTGATGGCCCAGGGACTCTACGTAAGCCCAGCCCAGGGTGCTCCACCCTGTTGGAGGAACCACGGGCCACAGCTCAGCCTTGGCTCCTCCTGATCTGCGGACTCGGTTCCCGGTTTGACCCCGGATCGGCCTCATTCCTGTGGATTTGCCCGATGATCCGGACCCTCGGCTGAACCTGGCCGCTCCGCGGGACCTTTCCTCCCCATCAAATAACCCACAAAGGCGTCAAGAAGAGAATTTTTATCGGACCGGTGTATTTTGTAAATACACGTAAACACGTTGCAACACCCGGGGAGGAGGGGGACATCGGGAACCGAGCACCACCAATCCCCCTGCTACAGGAACGGCACAACAGAGACCCCCCGCCCCCCCAAACTGGCCACGTTTCACGAGACTTTAGGGACTGGAGATGAAGTGGACGAGAAGAGGGTGCAGATGCACGGCTCCTTCTTCCCCGACTCTCATCTTGGCGTTGGCACCGTGGGGTTTTCCTTCCCGTATCTCAGGTGGGTTCTGCCACCCTTGGGTCCCAACACCCTTGTTGGTTTGGGCTCTGCCCGTAGCTGAAGGACAAGGACTTCTAGGAGCAGGCCGCTCGCTTGGGGACATCGCCTTAGGAAAAGACAAAGGTGTCTTAGCCGCCGCTACATCTCGTCGCAAGCTCCGACGGGAGCAGGGATCGCTCTGCTCAGGTGGAGATGCCACCATGGCTTAAACGGGAGAGTCTTGGGACGCCCTGGTGGCACGATGCGACTGGAGGGGTCTTGGGACGCCCTGGTGCCACGATGCAACTGGAAGAGTCTTGAGCGTTGATCATGGCCGCTTGCGGTTGGCAGCGTGGGTTTCCCCGTCCTGGTCACGTCCTGCTCTCCGGCGTGCGCGGGGCCCCTCCTCCCATCCGGAGGCTCTGCAGGGGGAAGCACGAAGGGAGCAGGGGCTCCTCCGCGCTGGGGACGCGTGGGGGCGAAGGAGGCGACTTCAGGTTGAGTTGGGCGATCGGCCCCACGCGGAACCAGGGACGGATCCTCTCCCCGCTCAAGGGGGCCAGCGGGAAGGTGAAGAGCAGGTCTTGGCTGTCGGCGTTGAAGAAGGCTACCTTCTGTCCCTCAAAGTCCAGGTAAACCCTAATCCTCCGGGGCATCTGGGTGAGGACGAGCGCTGTGTGGTCAGGGGAGGTGAGAGCCCAGTACTTGCCCCCACAGTGGAAAAGAGCCAAGATCCCATCTTGAGGAGCCGGGTTGATCCACCCCTTCCTCTTCATGGACTCCTTGGCCACCCCCATCGCCCAGACCCCTCCTTCCTCCGTCCCCACGTCCACCTCCCAGAAGCATCTCCCCGAGACGAATCCCTCCTGGCCCAGGACGCAGTGGTAGGTGTCGTATCTCTCGGGGTTATCCGGCATGGCTTGCCGCGTGTCTCCACGCCGTACGCCCGCCGAGAGGATGAGCTGGGGGTGCGCCGTGTCCACGTCCAGCGTGATGAGCACTGCAGGGAGAGGGGGAGAGCTCAGCTGGAGACCCCCCCGTTGCCTTTGGGGTCTCTTAAGGTTGGCTCCTCCTTGGAGAAATGTTTTGTGGGACCTCAAGTGCTCAGCGCAGCCAGAGCTGGCTCCTATCTCCCGCTACCTCCAGTGGTCCCAGAAGATGCCTCCTCTGGGAGACCACGTTGGCCAAGCGCTGGTTGGGATGCAGCTGCCCCGTGTCGGGAGTGAAGGGACCTTGCAGTGCGGACGTGGGCTGCTCCATGCCGGTGCGGAGCACGGACCCAAACTCAATGAATTTAGGAGGAGCCTTATTAAACATCTGGGTCTACCTCTTGGGGAGGAACCAAGAGCTTCACCCTGGGTGGAGATGCTTTGAGTTTCCCCATCCCGCAACCCTTTTCCCAGGGGAGTCTGGCTGAGAGCATCCCAGCTCTGTACCCCCCTCTAACGTGGCTTCCACGCTCGCTGTGCTGGGCGTCGAGACCCTGGGTCTTTAGAAACAGCCCCCCAAAAAAGGCAGAAAAATGCTTATTTAGTGGGAAAAGGAAGCAGAAAGCATCGGAGCAGTTGGGGCGTGGAGGCTCAGCCCTCGACTTCTCCACATTTCCCCCCAGCAGCACGGGGGAAGAGCCCCACGGAGCGGCAACGCACGAGACCCAGGTACCTTCTTCCACCGGGACGATGGTGTTTCTCCACCCTGAAACCAAACAGATGTCATCGCCAGCGGGTCCTCTGCCGTGATGAGGGGATGTGGGGTGATTTGGGGTGGTGGTCCCCAGGGCTGCAGACCGCTCCCAGGCATGCTTCGGTTTAATATACTCAAATTTAATTTATTTTACAACATAGAGGCATCAAAATGGGAACCTGGCCATCCTTTCTGGTCCAATTCATCATTTTTTAGACCCTGGGAGGGTTTTGCAATCAGTGTCCGTGGGGTCTTGGTAATAAAACCAAGCAGGACCCATCCCACCCCCCCCAAAACAGGCGCTGTTTGAAAGACCACGGAGCTGGGGGAAGAGCAAGGATCAAACTTACGCAGTTCTGCAGTGTGTTTCTCTGAAAAAGAAAAGAAAAATAAATAGTTTTAGTAAAAGCTTGTGATTTTGGGGGTCAAAACCTCAGGCTTTGATCCCTACGTAGCCCCAGACCCAAGGGTGTGTTAAGAGGTCCTTTTACGCTGCCAGACCTCCAAAATCTGCCCAGAGAGGGGAAAGCAGATGGGAGGGAAAACTGGCTCGGAGGGAGGGTTTTGGGGCACCCCGATGGGCTGGAAGGAGTTTGTGGGGTCGGTGACGCCAAGAAGTTGGGCTCAACCTCATCTGAAGCTGGATGAAGAAGGTTAGGGGAAGGTCGTCTTTGTCCCGGGCTTTGTGGGTGGAAGCAGCAAAGCAATACTTACCTATTTCCATATCGCGTTCCCCTGGAAGGGAAAAAAAATATAAATAAAAGTAGGAAGAAATACGTGGGATCGCTGGAAAAAGGCTAATTTGGTGCTGGCAACTTGTCCAGGCGCCCGAGGACCTTCTTGTGTTTCTCCTGCCTGGGCCTTTGGAAGTGGAGTTGAAGGAAGGGTTGGGTTGATGTTGGAAGGTCCTGCAGGGTTTTTTATGGGGGGGGGAAAACTGCTGAATTGGTTGCCCTAAATGGGATTTTGGTGGGTGGCGTGGTCTTATTCTAAGAGCAGAAGAGTTTCTCGGTCCTTCTCTTGCTTGTCGCTTCTTCGTTAGCCATGTTGCCATCAAAGCTAGCGATTTTAAATTTGGGAAAGAAGAGAAGTTGGGGATTTATTGCTTTCTCAGATGGCCTTTGGGGAGAAATATGCAAATTGGAATTTTATTCCTGTGAAAACAAGGAGGCTCGTTCTTATTACTCCAAATTTTACTCCTCCAAAACCAAGGAAGCTTATTTTTATTATTCCGAAATTTTATTACTCCAAACCTAAGCTCTCTTCGAAGGCCATACCAAAGTCAGAATTAGTCTACTACAAACGTGCGGGCTATAGGCGGGCTTCGTAAGCCGCAGCCCGGCTCCTCAGAGGTTTGTTATAGGAAAATAAAGAGATTTGGTCTTCCCCAGGGTCGGTTACCCAAGTTGGCCAACTCGGGTGAAGTCATGCACTTTATCGGGTCCCCAATTTTCCCGCTTCCTCCCCGCTGGTTTATGAGCTCCCGTGATGAAGCGAGCATCCGTCCGCACCTCTTGTTTTTCCCTCAGTGACAGAAAAAAAAAAAAAACCCAACACATTACTTACGAATTTTGGCATCGCGTTTCTCTGAAAGGAAAAGCAGAAATAAGCGTAAGAGGAAGTTTCCTTTCTCACAGGAAATTATCGGCGGCCTGGGGTATGGAGAACGGTGTAGAAGCTCAGCATCAATAATGTAACTGGCAAAGCTTGGTTAAAAAAAGGGGGAAAAACAGGAAAAAACAGGGGTTTGCCCAGTTCTGTGGTTTTTTGGTGTGTTTTCAGAATTTAAACGAAATCTTTTCAACCATTTCCCACTCCTCATAATCCTTTCAAATGGTTTTTTGGTGTGAAATTACCCAGCAAACGCCGTTTTAAAAGCAAATTTAGGAGATGCCCGCATGCAAGACCCAACCCTCCTTCGCTACCAAAAAAAATACTGTTTTAAAAGGGGGAGAAAAAGCGTTCCTTACCAAGCTCTGCGGTGTGTTGGGCTGTAAGAAAGAACAGAGAATGTCGTGTGGGTTAAAGGAAGGTTTCTCCCACGCCTACGTCACGCAAGGGTGACCCGCGATGGAGGCGTTGGCTGAACATCAGGAATTTTTTGGCTTGGTTGATGCTGGAGGGGGGTTTTGGTGTGAAATGGGGATGTTCGCTCGCGTTGGAGCTCTTCCTTTGCATCCCGTCCTTGTGGTTTTCTTTAGAGGCTTTGATGGTCACCGTGGTCAAGGCCACAAGCTATCAGGGATGGAGATTATGCTTCCGGTCCCTAAAAAGTGATATTTTTGGAATATTTCAATGGGATAGAGCTCCGGTGAGTCTCAAAGGCCTGGGGGCAGTAGGTCCTCCTTTGCGCAGGTCCATATCAATTCAGTGTGGTCTTGGGTGCCCAAATACCCTCCTGGGTGCCCCAAAGTCCTTTTGCCCTTTCCTAACACCTTACCTCGTAGCCGTAAGATAAAAAGAGAGAAGACGACCAGCGAAACGAAGCAGGCAGCCAGGGTCGCGAACAGAGCTGCCATCCAGGGAGAGTCCTTTGGAAAAATGGCGTCTGGAATAGAAAAATTCCCAAAACTGTGTTAATCTGGGATGCAATTATACGTATCGGTTGTGCGTTGGAGTGAACGTGGCTCTACGTAAACGCGGGGTGGTGTTATGCTCTTATATAAAAGTGGTTTATTAACCCGAGCCCGTTGGAAATTCAAAACTGAAAAGAAATCCCCATTAAAAAAAAAAAAATTCTAAAATGTTTTTGCATTTAACGTTCTGCGATGGGAATATGTAGGAAAATGGTGTCTTGTAAGTGCTCGCTCTCCTCTGAGCATCTTTATTGAGATATTTAGACCTGAGGCTGCTTTTTAATAGAAATTTTAAAAAATTTATTAGAAAATTCCTGCTTTAGTGACAGTTCTTAAGAAAACTACGCTGAAACCAACTTTCTACTAAAAAAATAATGCTGAATATCCCTGATTTGATCCCTGATGGTCCAGAAACCAGTTCCTCCTCCATCGCACGCTCATGATGCACGGAGCGCCGCAGCCAAAGGTGCCCATCTGGGGATGCAACAGGTCCCCCATGCCCAGAATCCTCCTCAGATGCAGCCAACAATGACTGGGTGCATAAAATTAGGGGAAGAAACCCCTTATTTCCCAGGTATGGCTTTTAAAACTTTAATTCTGGCAGTAAATCACCTGATATATAAATGGTCGAGTCCTTCTCCTGGGGAAGCCGCGTGTTCCTGATGGAACAGGACACGTTTCGTTTTGCATTTCTTTGGATGATGATGGACCTCTCCACTTCAAAGAAGCCGTTCTGGTCTTGGGAGTCGGACTGGGCGAAGGATGGGAGCTGCTGGCCCTGGAAATCTCTCCACAGCATCTCAGGCTTTGGGTACCAGCCGGTTGCTCGACATCCCACTCGGATTCCCCCATCTTGGTAGTCCTCCACGGAGAGGAAGGGGCTGGAACCTGAAACTGGGACCAAAAAAACCCCACCTCTGTCAGCCAAACTGAGTGTCCATCCCGGAGGAGGCCTTCTCCAAGCTTTTCCCGTTCACAGCCACAAAATCAGGGCAGCGCTGGTGAAAGACCGATGGAAAACATCTGAGCTTGGGGTGGAACTGATGTTATTTATTCCTATTTTCCTCCTTCCTCAAATGAACCCAAAACCTCATGAACTTTCAGTTTCGGGCACAGCCCGAGCCCGATTCATTTACCCTCAGCCATGTCCTGTGACTCTGAGGACAACCGTGAAATCCCGCAACCCATCCAGCACAGCCTCTCCTAGAGAGAAGGGTGCGGCAGACGGAAGGTCATGAGATGAAGCCCTCTCCACCCAGAAGGACGCTCATCCCCTCTGCAGACCACACAACGTGAGACCTGACGGGTTTAGGGAGGCAAGTGCTGTCTTTGGGACACGGGAGACGCTTGGCCAACTGCAAGGTCAATGTTCTCCAGCTGGGAAACGTGTGGTGCCCATGTTCACGTCTGCTCGTGTCCCACCTTGGGACAATTTGGAGACCCCATCCTTAACAGGAAAGAAGTGCAAAAGGATGCGTCTTTGGGTTCAGCTGCGTCATCTCCTGCTCCTTCTGTGTCACCTCTCTTGAAGCAAGCCAACTAGAGCCTCAGACCCTGGGGCTGTGGTCTGAGATGGTTGACCTGGGGCAGCCAGGAGGTTTCTCCTGGGTTAGAGGGTGGTGTTGCTGTGTTTGTGAGACTTTAGGGGTCTGGTGACAGGACAGTCCATATTCTGCCGGGATCCGAGGCCAGGCAGGTCAGGAGATGCTCGCGAGGAGCTGGGCTACCAAGCAGAGAAAAATCAAAAGGGATTTCTGAGTTGTAGTGGGCAGATGGGACAGGGCAGATGTAGACAACCCTGACTCCTGGTTGTTACCTGCTACCTTCAGCTCCACCGTGGCTTCTTCGTAAAAATTCCCATCTTTGATGAGACACTGGTACTGTCCCTCATCGCTCAGCCTGGTCCTGAAGATCCTCAAGGAAACGTTCCCAATAGAGATGCCCTCTTTTAAAAACTCTGTCCTCTCCTGGTATTCGGGCATCTGGGAGGAGTAGTGGTCCTGCCCGCTGTGGTAGAGGTGGACGTAGACGGAGAACCTGGACCGAAACCACCTCACCTCCATGTTCTCAGCGTTCAGCCTGGGGGAGAGGTGGCACGGCAGCACGACATCTTCTCCCATGATGGCAGTGATGGGGTGGTCGGGTCCCAGGACTCTGAACTGGGCTGCGAAAGGTGGCAGGTGAGAAGAAGACACGCCTGAGATGCACGGGCACAAGTGGTTCTGCTGCTACATCCTCTGGGCAAATAATTGAATTTATTTTTTTTTTAAGGTTTCTGGTTGGGTTCGTGGCACATCTGGAAGCAATCATCAACCAAGCATGAAAGAGCATCATGGTGGGTGCGAGGACCCCACGTCCAGCTGCCGTCACAGCTGGGTCTGGAAAGTACCCCAAGAAGATGAGGTCAAGCGTGCTGAGATGGGAATGCTCTTGTGAGAGGAAGAAGCCACCTGAAAGCTACACAAATGATGGAGGAGAAGGTACAGAGGGAGAAAGGACAGATTTTGGGGGCAGAGGAGTGCTGCAAGACAGAGCTTGGGGTCTTTATAGATGGTCTAGGACTGAGCTAGCTCTTGACCTTCACGCATGGAGATGATGGATCCCCAAACTCTCTTGGTAGGGCACTTGTCCCCCTGCGAGTCCCCAGAATTTGCTCTTTATCCCACCCAGCTTTTAAAAACCACCTTTTGCGTAGTATTAACAAACCGGGGGAGAAAAATATATAACGATGGATGGATGTCATGGAAGAAGCAGAAGCACTGGAGATCCTTACCGCAGTCCAGCTCACGGACGTGAAAGCCAAAGAAGAAAATCATGACGCAAGCCGGGACAGAGGTGATGCGAGGGAGGCAGGAGCGTGAGGAAACCAACATCTTCCCATCCAATTTCACTGGGAAAAGATGAACGGGGAAAAAAAAGAAATCCATTAAATGAACAGAAAGCCGAGGGTGGTGCAGAGAATATCAATTTGAAGAAGAGTTTCTAGATGAAAACTGATTAGAAAAAGCTGGAGAACTAGGCAATAGTAAAAAAAAAAAGTAGGTTGGATGGGACCGCTGGGATCTCTGGCCCAAGCCCTGCTCACGGCGGGGCCACGGAGGCTGGGTAGCTCTGGGTCCTGTCCAGGTGAGGCTGGTACCTCCGAGGATGGAGGTCCCCCTCCTCCATGGACCTTTTCCCACCCACCGACGGAAAAACCAAAAAACCAAAACAAAACATTTTGGTGTCCCTGATGCTCCTGTTCCCGCAGCCCGGGCTCGGATCTGCCACGACTCTGCAGGGGCTCAGGACTTCCCACAAAGCGGGGAGGAAAGGAGGGAAAAATGGGGAAGTTTGGGGCAGGGGGAGACGATTTTCCAATTTGTGGTGCTCCTTCGAAGGCAGGGGGAATCTGCAAGTTAAAATGAGTTTTGTGGGGGGGAAAAGAGAGAGAGGGAAAGCCCTCCTCAGTCCTGCACGGCTCTGAGGATGTGGTGACACCAGATGAAGCTGTCACATCGGCGTCACATTGTGGGAGGACCTGGGAGAGGGGGGTGACATGTGCCTGGCACCATGGGACAGGGTTTAACAGGCTGCAGTCTTAAAAAGAACAATAAAACCCCCATAAATCCCCCCCCAAAACAACATCCATCCCAGCTTCACCCCTGGGCTGGGGTCCCCTGGTCCTGGGGGGTCTCCAAATGCCCCGTGTGGGGATCCCCATCACAGGCTGCACCCCTGTGCATCCCTGGGGACCCCATCTGCCCCGGGCGTCCCCCAAATCCCCCCCGGCACCCTGCCCTACCAGTCCTGCCTGCCAGGATGCAGGCGGTATCGCTCCTCGGGGGGTGGGCTGCGATGGTCCTGTCCCTCCCGCCTTGGGGCTGGGAGGGTTAAGAGAAAAACAGAGCGCATCGAGACATCCGCAACCGAAAGCCTCGTCCACTTCCTGCTTTATGGTTTCTGAGAAGGGAGGGTGGAGCTGAATCTGGTGGACGTGAAGCCATAACTGCCCCCGAGCCAAGGTCAAAGCAAAAAAATCCTCAAGGTCAAATCTCCTCCTCCATCCATCCCTCCTGGCCCTGGTGCACTGCTGCTGCCCAGGGGCCGAGCGTACACGCTGGCTGCTGGGTCTGCAAGATATACATACTTGGGTTTTTCCCCCTTCCAGAAATGTGGGCTGTTGCATTTAGGAAGACAAAGCCACGCAGGTATTTTTTAATGCACATTTTTAATGCACATTATTATTATTATTGTTTTTTCCCCAGTGTATCACACACACTGGGAGCGTTTGGTCCCCTCCCAGTGCAGGCATCACCTTTGCACAAGTCTTTTTTTCTTTTTTTTTTTTTTTTCCCCTCAAAGCCATGGGTTTTGATTTTATTGAGCAGCAGGGATCATCGAAGCTTGGGAGGACAACACCTGAGCTCGTCCTAAAGCAAACGCGCCCGTGGTTTGGAAAGCTGCTGGTGGATAAGGGCATAAGTCACGGCTTCGCTCCTCTCCTTTGCACCGAGACAGCGCCGGGACCTTTCCCGAACCCCTTTGAACAGGGGCAAGGGTATCTCCCGGGATGCCTTCTGTGGAAAAAATAGGGAAAACAGCTTTTTAGGAAGGCTAAATGCTTGGGATCGGCTGCAACGAGCTTAATTTTCCACGACAGCTTTGCCGCCGTCCACGCCTCCATCTCCATGCGTCCAACATGCGGCCGATTTAGGATGGGTGATGAGGTTGGAAGCCAGCACCGGGGCTGGAGCCGGCACCAGAAATAAACCTTTCGTTGCCCCTTTCCCCCATCTTTTCCCCCCGCGTGCCATCTCTTGCTTTAATAAAGCAGAGCCCCAATAAAACCAGAAGCGCGGGAGCAGCCCGGATATTTTATTCTTTCCCATTTTACACCCCAGGAAAGGGCATTTGCCAGACATGGATGCGATTATCAGTTTTATGAGTAGAGCAGCAAAACAAGGTTAAAAAAAAACCACCAACAGGTTAAAAAAAACACAGCAGAAGAGAAAAATACCCCCCCTTTATTCCGTGTATTCACACATATTCCCCGGGTGCAACCGCGGTGCCCTCAAGCCGCCTCCACCTCGCTGGCATCGTGCACAGCCCAGGTTTGGTTTTATTTACGTTTACTAAAAATGCACAGCTCTGCAAAGTCACTTTTTTTTTTTTTTTTTTTTTTAAATCAGAATCAAATTCCAAACCGAGAGATATGCGTTTTCCCACCATCCCCCTCGAGCACTCGATGCTCGCCAGACTCATCTCATCCTTCCCAAAAACGTGCAGCAACCCGGAGAGGAGGAGCTGCCCCGTCGCCCCCGACCGCGGCAGAAACGCTCGGGTTCTGCTGCAGAAAAACAGGGTTTTTCCTACTTGCGATGGGTCCTTTCGAACCGAGGGGCCAGGAGGGCTGAGCATCGCTCCGCACCCACGGGCCATCGCTGCAAACCTCCCGGGAAGGTGGCTTGGTCACCACAAAGCTCAGCTCCATCCCAGGTCTGCTTCAAGCAATTATTTGGAGAAGGAAGCTCTTCCGGCAAAAAAATCATGTGGAAATAATTGCTGAAAATCAGCTTGCTTTGCCTGGATGTGCTGAAATCATTGCACGTCGCCGGTTGGCATCAGCGGTGACGAGGCAGAAGCCATCGTCGGCCCATTTTGGACCATCAAGACCATGCTTCTCAGCTGCATCTCCTCCAGACCAAGTAGGGATGGGAGCAAAAATAAGAGTACAACCCCATTTATTAACCTGAGCTTAAGGAAGGCAAAGCTACGACCAAAGAGATGGAGATTGTGAGTGGGTTGAGGATTTAAGAGGGAAAAACAATAAAAAATTGACGTGGGATGATGAAGGAACCGTTTTGCATGGCCAAAGGTGCCCTAGAAAAGAGGAGAAGCAGCGAAGCCCTTACCCGGCACTGCCACGGCCTCGAGGGTCCCCAGCATCAGCTCCCTGCCGAAACACGCGTCCACCTCCGCCAAGGTCGAGGGCTCCTGGAAGCGAAGAGAAGTGGCTTCTTGATGGGAGAAGCTCAGATCCCAGCGGCTTCTCCATCCCCAGCAAATGCTCATCTTTCCCCATTTTTTTATCTCATTTTCCCCCATTTTTTTGCCTCTCCTGGATGCTTCTCCAGCAGGACCCCAAGCCCCCACCTGAGCTGGATCTGCTGTGGCCGTTTGCTGCCCTCCTGCAGACTGGGATAATCGCAGTGAACTGGAACCTACTGGGATAAGAGAAATGGCAGGGAAAATTTGGGGGGGATGCATCGGTCCCCATCGCTGCCTAGTACTTTTTCCTCCCCATCCTGAGAAAGAGAACAGCTGAGGTTGGAAGGGGCTGGAGATGAATTAAGTTAATTAACAGCCCTGATTAGCCCCACTTGGGAAGCCCCGCCCGTGGTCCAGGGGCTCTATTTAAGCTCAGCCTTGGGGTGTTTAGTCCTTTTGCAAGCTGCCTTGGAGGAGCATCCCTGTGTGGCTGTGGACCTTGCTGATCCACCCTGTGGGCTTGCCCGATGCTCAGCCCTGCCCAGCCCTGCCTGCTCCCCTTGCTCAGGTACGTCGGGTGTTGATTCCTTCCTTGAAGCAGCACCAGCTTTGCAGTTAGACCCAGCTTCAAAACCTGGCTGGGCTCCTCAGGGTGGCGTCCTGGTTAGACCCAGCTTCAAAGCTTGGTGAGGGTCCTCAGGGTGATGTCCTGGTTAGTCCCAGCCTTAAAATTTGGCTAGGCTTCTCACGATGATGTCCTGGTTAGTCCTAGCTTCAAAACCTGGCTGGGCTTCTCAGGGTGATGTCCTGGTTAGTCCCAGCCTTAAAATTTGGCTAGGCTTCTCAGGGTGGTGTCCTGGTTAGACCCAGCTTCAAAACTTGCCTAGGGTCCACAGGGTCAGATCCTGGTTAGACCCAGCTTTAAAACCTGGGTTTTAAAACCTGAGCACCTCCTCAGGGTGGTGTCCTGGTTAGTCCCAGCCTTTAGATTTGGCCAGGCTCCTCGAGGTGATGTCCTGCTTAGACCCAAATCCTGGCCAAACAGAAAGAGGGAGGGGAAAAGCTTGCCTGCTGGATTTCCCAAGGGAATCTGGGGGGGAGAAGGCAGCCTCAGAGAGGAAATCCAATAACTGGAGGGTTGAGATGAAAAGAGATTAGAGGAGGGGGGATTTAATAGCATGCAAGAATGTGTGTGTGTGTGTATATATATTTATATATGCGCATATTCACACATGCAAGGTATGGAGCAAGGGCATTTTGTGTCTTGGGGGGTGGCAGAAAAAAAAACAATCTTAGCTGGTAAAATAGTCTTGAATTTGATATATTAAATGTATGTATGCACACACATGCAAGGCATGGAGCAAGGTAATGTTACGTCTGGGGGGGGTAGTGGAAGAAAAAACAGCCTTAAACAGTAAATAGTCTGAAATTGGATATATTAGAGCTATTCAGCAAGTCAGCAGAGCGCGCTGGTGCCGAGGCCGGGGATGCGATGGGGAGCAGTGGGATTTGGCGGTCGTTGTCCCCCCTCTCGATCCAGCTCCTGCCTTCCCCTTTCTGCCCCTTTTCTCCCCAAAACCCCTTCTTGCATCGCGCCTTCGTCCCTGCGTCCCCCTCGCCTGAGCCCTCCGCCACCGGCCATGGCAGCTCCCAGCTCTCCCAGTTGCTGCCGGGGGATGCCCAAACTGGGGTCCCCGGTGCCGGTGGGCAGTGGGGGGGGTTCCTGCGCTCACCGTTCCCTGTGGGGGGTCTGATTTGGGGGTGACGTTGGCAAAGGCAGCAGCATCATCCCGGAGCCGCTTGTGCTGACTCCGGTTGTTCTTTTCCCAGCTTCCCGTGTTCCTCCGTACCCAACCCGGGCTGCAACGTGCGCCCGAAACGGGGTCTGGAGGGGGGGACCCCA